CTTCGGCGTACAGCGGACACGGCGACCGCGAATTTGAGCCCCACAAGCTGGTCACTCCAACCTCAGACCTTGCTTCGTCCTCGGGGTGTTCATCAAGTCGACCTGGAGACTTGCACCTAGTATATTGCGGTCGTCGCATTGTAATTATCAACTATACTGCGGGGTTAAGGACTCCAGGTTATCAGGGGGGGTGCCGCGAACTTTTTTGTCCAACCTCGACGCTTGACTGGCTTGCCGAACGGACTTGAAACAAAATTTGACGAAGGTTGGATGGATAATGGTAACGGCTGTACCCTTTATAACGGGCGGTAGCTTGCGTCCCCTAGCTTAGAAACCACAAATGGGATTGTTCTTTCCCGCTAATTTCCTTACTTTCCGCCTTTTTTTAAAAAAAAAGTCATTATTTTTTTACCCTGCTCGAAGCACGAGGCTTGTTGTTATCCTTATAAGGGGCCAGGGACACCTCCGCGACAAAGATATTGAGGCGTATACTTGGGCACTTAAGTAATATGTATGACCGAAATCGCAGTAGAACCGCAATAAATCTTCGGCGTACAGCGGACACGGCGACCGCGGATTTGAGCCCCACAAGCTGGTCACTCCAACCTCAGACCTTGCTTCGTCCTCGGGGTGTTCATCAAGCCGACCTGGAGACTTGCACCTAGTATATTGCGGTCGTCGCATTGTAATTATCAACTATACTGCGGGGTTAAGGACTCCAGGTTATCAGGGGGGGTGCCGCGAACTTTTTTGTCCAACCTCGACGCTTGACTGGCTTGCCGAACGGACTTGAAACAAAATTTGACGAAGGTTGGATGGATAATGGTAACGGCTGTACCCTTTATAACGGGCGGTAGCTTGCGTCCCCTAGCTTAGAAACCACAAATGGGATTGTTCTTTCCCGCTAATTTCCTTACTTTCCGCCTTTTTTTAAAAAAAAAGTCATTATTTTTTTACCCTGCTCGAAGCACGAGGCTTGTTGTTATCCTTATAAGGGGCCAGGGACACCTCCGCGACAAAGATATTGAGGCGTATACTTGGGCACTTAAGTAATATGTATGACCGAAATCGCAGTAGAACCGCAATAAATCTTCGGCGTACAGCGGACACGGCGACCGCGGATTTGAGCCCCACAAGCTGGTCACTCCAACCTCAGACCTTGCTTCGTCCTCGGGGTGTTCATCAAGCCGACCTGGAGACTTGCACCTAGTATATTGCGGTCGTCGCATTGTAATTATCAACTATACTGCGGGGTTAAGGACTCCAGGTTATCAGGGGGGGTGCCGCGAACTTTTTTGTCCAACCTCGACGCTTGACTGGCTTGCCGAACGGACTTGAAACAAAATTTGACGAAGGTTGGATGGATAATGGTAACGGCTGTAACCTTTATAACGGGCGGTAGCTTGCGTCCCCTAGCTTAGAAACCACAAATGGGATTGTTCTTTCCCGCTAATTTCCTTACTTTCCGCCTTTTTGTAACTATCACCAGGTGCGTGTGAGATAGTGTCAAAATGACCTGTCAGAATCGGCAAAAAAAAAAAAAAGAAATCACCTCAGTCTTTTTTCTTTTATATTTTAGCAAGAGAGTGGTAATTTTGCTCTGGCTAAACTTTGTCGGCGCCACTCCTACACCCTGCCCACAGCAGATAGGGTTGAGACTTTGGGCCGGAGCCACGCGGGAGTGAGTTCCGATTTCCCTCCGTCCCGCCTGTTCGACTTTTAAACTGTGTTGTCCGACCTGGTACAAAAAGAAAAAAAGTTTCAGGACAACATTGTAGAAGTAGCTTTTTTTTCTAGATTGTAGAAAATTATTTAAAATGCTTCCCAATATATATATATATATATATATATATATATATATATATATATATATTGTTAGTATGTTATGCTCGTTTGCCAGGTGACGCCAGCTCGTCTCCAATTTCTATAAGTTAACTTGGCTAGACCTGAAGTTGGCAGTCGTCAGCGGAGACGCCAGTCACCATATTGTCACGAATGACAAGTGATGAGGCGATAATAACTGAAGAAACTGAACGTTGAATCGGGCGAACTTGTGCCCAAAAATAAAAAGGGAACAGAAGAAAGTAGAGCGTCGCGGGCGTCGAAGTCGGCGTGACAGCAGTGTCGAACGCTGGGGCGAAACTGACAGTGACTCGCCACGCGGAGCCCCTCGTGTACATGCGTGGGCTTCTGGAATAATCGGCGTAGAAAGTTCGATTCGTATAACATTCTAACCTCGAATCACCCCAAGACGCTTCTCGAATTTACCAGAATACTAGTCTGCAGGAATAAACAAAATGATGCGCCGCTCCTAGGAATCGAACCGTGGCTTTTCGCGTGGGAGGCAGGTACGATAACCGCCGCGAGGCCACGCGCGCGCTGCCTACTTGGCCAGCTGCGCGCGCGGCAATATTAACTTCGCACTGTCTAAACGACACGTTCAGTTTTTCTTCTTTTTTTTTTATCACTACACAGCAGGGATGGGCAGTATTTCAAATACAAGTATTTGAAATACGTATTTCAAATACTTTGTCTATTTTGCATTTGTATTTAATTACAAATTGGGTAATGTATTTGACGTGTGTATTTAAATACTAAAACGTGGGTATTTTAAATACAATTGTAATTAAATACAAATTTGTGGGCGAAAATACATCCCTCAAATTTATTGTCACTGTCCAGAGCAGGAAGAAAACTACGTTCTGAACCGAATGCAGTGTCTCTCAATCAAGCACAAGCCTTTAGTGACTTTGTGATTACGGTGCTAGTCCAGGGCAAGAATAGTGACGAAATCAACGTTCACAGGCAGACTGGCTTATTAAGTGCCTGTGAAAACTTGTGATTCTTTCCAGCCGGATTTCCATCCATACTTTTGCCTTGGACATTCTACATGCGCGGGTCATCCAGATTTTCGTAACTGGTGCGAGTTGCAACAATAAAAAAATCTCTAGCTAGTGCTGCGCGTCTTGGTCGTCTCGGTTCTTTGTGGGCCTATATCAAAACGTAATCGACAAAAAAAGCTGCTTGAAGCTCTGTACTTTTTTCCCCTATTGCGTCCAAGCTGATTACATTTTTTTTGTGATTATATTTTTATTACGTTACTAGAGCCTCGCTCACTAACTCCCGAGTGTGCGATTCAAAATGAAAATGAGATACCCAGAAACCCGTTGCAGGTGCCCTGAAGTCGCTGACGCAAATTTTGAGGAATGTATTTGGAAAAGTATTTGGAGGAGACCAAATACATTTGGTTGTATTTGTATCTTGTATTTAAATGCTTTTTTTGGAAATGTAATTAGCTTTGTAATTAAATACGTTTTTAACGAAGTATTTTGTATTTGTATTTCGATACATATTTGCATGTATCTTGCCCATCCCTGCTACACAGCATATAAAAGAAAGAAATAGAAAGAGAGATAGAGAAAAGATAGGATGGGGGGGGGGGGGGGGCGACAGAAAGTAAATCCGTAGGTCGCCATCCAGTCGACAACAACAGCAACAGTACAGCAAGTCGGCTTCTCAGGGTCAGCAGGTAATCAAAGGAGGCGAGCCCGGGGAGCCTCTCCCGCTTTTAGATGTGCAAAGGCTGCGCGGCGTGTCCCCTTTCGGGAAGGGACCAGCAGGTTTGCCCAAGGATACCCGTTGCTCCAGGGCCCTGCGGCACCGACACGGGCGGTGCCGCCGCTGCGTGACAGGTTACGACGGCGACGGCTTCGGCGGTGGTCGGCGCCACGTCTCCATCGAGGGTGGGCGCCCTTCGGGGCCTTCAAAGGATATGGCTTCGGCCCGACTTTGGTGCCAGTGTGGCCGCCTGCGATTACCTGTTCGCGGTGCCGCCGCTTTAATGGTGTCTTTTTGTGTGTGTGTGCGTGTGCGGTTTGCGTATGTTATTAAAGAAAAGCATGGAAGAAATCGACGTGGCGCTTCAATCATTTAAAAAAAGATGGCGGCGGTTAGCATTAAAATAACAAACAACAATGCGTTTAAGACTGAAAAAAAAAAACTCAGAAGAAAGAAAAAAGCTAGGTCGTGAGATGGGTGTTCAGTTTATCTATTGTTCTCTCATGACGCTCAAGCATTGCAGTAATTTAAATAAAGCTAACTGAAGCAAACGCCGAGATTCCTCTTGGCGTACTTTTGATGTATGTATCTGTGCTCATGCATGGTCCCTCGTTAACGTCGAGTTAGCTATCTTAAATAACAAAGAGAAATACAAGCGACGAAACTTACAAACGATTTGAACAAGAGTACCGCCAACCACATGAACACTCCAATGGGTATAAGGGTGATTGCGCAGGCTAGCTGGTGAAGAATCATACTGAGAAACCCGTGACGAGGAGCACAAACAAGGGTACAAAAACAACACCGTCTCAGTGTGTGAGTGCATTAAATACGCTCCATTTCATTTTAACATTTTTTTTACCAAAACATAAAAAAAAACTTTAATCTTTTTATTTTGTTTTACTATTAATAAACTACAGCAAAGAGTACGTGCAATCACCCACTCTACGACGTAAATCTCATTTTTTTTTCTGGCTTCAACTCTTACTCGTTTTCTAAATCTTGCCAACCACTGCGGCGCCGTGCGGACCAAGGGCACTCACTCGCGGGGTCATTAGTTGGAAGAGTCGGCAAGACGAACAGATGCCTTCCGTTGGCGTCGTCCGCCCGGTTTCCCTCCTGCGCCGCATCCCTCACAATGGGACACCAACGCCGCGCATTATCGCGGCAGCCACATCACTGAACCACGCCACCTCGACCGCCTCGGGAAGACGCCGACCACGGCAAGGCATCGGGTCCCCTAAAAAAAGCCGCCAAGAGGAGAAGGATAATGAGAGAGAGGGTGTTCATTCTGAAGTCCCGTAAAGCCCCGAGACAGGCCTTGCCCCCCTCCCCTCACCCAACCGCTCTCCGGAAGCCCCATTGGCTCGTCGGGGGAGGGTATACGGTGCCCGGCCCTCCAATCCCCACCCCTGGAGGGATTACTAAAACAAGAGTTCTGACTCCGCTTGCCATTTTTTGTCGATCCGTCACGTCGGCGAGCGACGCACCACCTCTCCGTGGGACACATCTTCACCGAGGGCTTCCCGCGACCGGCACGAGACTCCACGATGCCGCACACCGCCAGCATCTTTCCGATCCAGGAAGACAGCAGCCTGTCGCCCGTGGATGGACACACGATGCTCCCACTACCAGTTCCGTTCAGAGGCCTCCATCATAATCATCACCACGTGACGCACCACATCCACCATCCACGGGACCATATGAACGGCGAGATGACACAGCTGCCCCAGCAACCGCAGGGTACGGACAGCTCCTTGACGATACAGCTGGCGGCGAAGCGGCGACGGCACCACCAGAGAATCAAGAGGGACTCGGACGCCGAGTCGTCGGACGGTTCCGGCTCCCGGTCGCGGAAGAAGCCCTGCCAGAACTTTGAGGACCTCCAGCACCAGAGGATGCAGGCCAACGTGAGGGAGCGTCAGCGGACGCAGTCGCTGAACGAGGCGTTCACGTCCCTGCGGAAGATCATCCCTACGATGCCGTCGGACAAGTTGAGCAAGATCCAGACGCTCAAGCTGGCCTCCATGTACATTGCCTTCCTGTTCGAGGTGCTCAAGAGCGACGAGCACGAGAGCAAGCTGAGCAGCTCGTGCAATTTCATCGCCAACGAACACTTGAGCTACGCTTTCTCCGTCTGGAGGATGGAGGGAGAGTGGTCCGGACTCTGATGACACGCGCCGCGACAGTCTCTGGTGAGTGCCCCATTTCTCCGATTGATCTCATGCATTGTAGGGGCTCTCCAAGCCTGCCTGCAGGACCGCCCACATGTTGAAACATTGGGCATTTGCCGTTGCAGCATTGGTGAAAAGCCGTTTATGTATACGTAATTGCGTTGTATATATATATATTTCGAGAGCAGAAGTTTTAGTCAGCCCCAATAAACATCTGGTTTCTCCAACGTAGATGATAATTTAGCCAGTGCACCACGACAGCTAGTATGGTCTCAACATGCATCAAACATTATACACGACTGCAGGCCGATACGATACTCGATCGTCCGGATCGAAACGACTAGGTGTGGGAACTGAGCCTAGGATCGCTGGGTTCGGCAGCGCGACCTCTTGTTCCACGTACTCCGAGCTGCGATGAGCTAAGGCACTCTGCAATCAATCCTTCTCAATCCACACGCGCCAATACCAAGAAATCGAAAGTTGCTGACGAAAGTGGAATAGCGGTACGTCGGGCGTAGAGTTTTAATTTTCTTAAAAGGCACATCAAACGAATTTTTGGCTGGGATAAATGAATTTAGATTGGTATTTTACTAATAGCATATCGTTTAGTGGGCCAAAAGAAAGAAGGTAAAAAGTCAAAAGCCTGATTTTCGGTACGAAAATTTGAAAACAGCGGACTATTTCGTAACTCCTTCCCTTCGACAGACCTTTCCAGCGGCAGTCTCGAATGACGCGATTTACGGCGCACGTTCCTGGTGGATGGATGGATGGTAATGGCTATATATACCCTTTGTAACGGGCGGCAGCTTGCGCCACTTAGCCTAACATTTTCATCAACCCTTCTATTTTTTTTTTAAATTTGTATGAATTTTTTATAACAAACCCCCCTCTCTTTTAAATTGAATTTATTGCCTATTTTTATATGTATTTTTTTTATCCTTCCCTAGATCTCTTTCACCAATCTTCCAATCTCCTCTTAGTTACCGCAATTCTTTCCCTATCCATTCGTCTATCCATGTCCGGAAAACCCAGTGCCCCCTCCAAATCCGTAGTCATCCCCCCCCCCCCCCCCAAGAGGGTGGGACGAAGCCCCGTGCACCTTAAAATTACATGTTCTATAGTTTCCCTTTCACGGTTGCATACGTCGCACAGAGTGTCTACTGCCTGAAATTTAGCCCTATACGTTTTCGTTCGCAGCACCCCCGATCTAGCCTCAAACAACAAAGAGCTCCCCAGTGAATTATCATACCAGCAGTTCCTTCTTCATTTCTTGTTTTTGTGCCCTGCATATTGCTAAAGCTGATTTCCCCTGCATTCTCTCTTCCCACAATTTCCTCTCAGTTTCCTTTACTCCCTTTCCAAATACTGATACGCTCTGATCAGCTCCATCTCGTTGAATGTATTTAAATCTCAGCTTGCGGGTTCGGTTTGTCCACTTAGTGTTTCGACTTTTCATATATAGATACTGGTACACTTTCGCTGCCCACCGTGTATCCTCAATTTCAGCTAGTCGTTCAAATTTTACTTTACTGTTCGCTTCTCTACTCTCGAAAGATGCCCAAACCATATCCCCCTGTACTCCCTCATTTGGTGTATTCCCATGTGCCCCCAATGCCAACCTACCCACACTCCTTTGCTGTATCTCTAAACCTGCCTGAATTTCTGGCCTCATACACAATATAGCATTCCCAAATGACAGTCCTGGCACCTTGACCTCCCTTCCCTACACCCCTAACAACTTCATATCTATTAGTTCCATAGTGCCCTGTGTTTCATGATAGCCGGATCTCGTTTCCCCTTCTTTATTATAATATCTTCATGGTTTTTTAGACACCGTCTTCCTTCACTTAACCATACTCCCAGATATTTGCACTTTTCTACGTGTTCTATTAATGTGTCCTGTATCTCCAGGGGCTCCCCCTTCTCGTCGTTGAAAACTATTATACCAGACTGTCCCCACTAAATTTTAGTCCTAAATTGTCCCCTTCCCTGCTGCAAATTTTAATCAGTTCCTGTATTGTCTCACGACTTTCTGATACAAGTACAATGTCGTCTGCGTACATTAACCCTGGCAATACTTGATTTACTTTATGTCCTTCCTCCATGTAAGTCAGGTCAAAACCTAGGTTGCACCGTTCTAAACCTTTTTCCAAATCACTGAGGTATATCATAAAAAGCAGGGGAGACAACGGGCAACCCTGTCTAAGACCTCTTTTTATTGCTGCTGGTCTTGTAATTTCGGCTTTCCATGTTATAACCACCCTATTGTCCGTATAAACCCGTTCTAGAAACTTAACCATGGTTCCCTCTAGCCCATATCCCTTCAGTTGGTTCCTGAGTTTTTCCTGATTCACATTGTCATATGCCCCTTTGATGTCTAAAAATGCCCACCTTTGACTTGTCACTGCTATCTCTATGCACTGAGTGATTACGAATACATTATCATCTAGTCGTCTGTTTTTCCTGAAACCGTTTTGAAGCTCCCCTAGAATCTGCTTTCTCTCTGCCCATTCTTCCATTCTTCTTTTTTGCAATTTGCATAGCTAGCCTGTATATTACTGAAGTTACTGTGATTGGTCGGTATGATTTAATACTGTCTTTGTCTCCCCTGCCCTTATATAACAATCTCATCCTGCTCAATTTCCAGTCACTGGGTACCTCCCCTCTCATAAGTGTCTGGTCAATCACCTGCCTTAGTTTCAATTTGCTTGTTTTGCCTAGCATTTTTATCAATCACATTGGTATGCCGTCTGGACCTGTCGCAGTTCCAGCCGGAACCCTTCCTTCTGCTTTTTCCCACTTACCAGAGGTCATTTCTTGTTCTTCACTATGATCCTCTTCTTGTGTTGTGTAGACGCTACCATTCCCTACGGCCTGATCTGATTCTAACTCCGAAAATGCTGCTTCGATTGTATGTCTAATGCATTCTCTTGCCTCTTCCCCCTCTACCTTTGTCCCTTCCTGTGTGGTTAGTGTCCGCTGGTACCTTTCGGTCTTTTTTTCCCTGCGCACTGATGTGTTCCCAGAACCTTTTTGCCGCATTCCTATCCTTCTGGTTTATCTCTATTATCCACTGGACCACTGCCCTCCCAATTTTGGCCTGTATTAATGCTGATGCCTCCCGCTTTCTTTCCTGAAATTCCTCCCATTTCGATGCTACTTCGTCTAGTGTGGCCCCCTTTTTCTTTGCCCATCTGTGTTCTTTAGCTGCCGCCTGGCGTCTCGATATTGCTGCCTTACCCTCTTTATTCCACCAGCTTTTGAGCTTACATTTTAGTTTTCTTCCTTCTTGTTTGATTCGATATTTCTCTAATGGTGAATTCCACTCGTAGATCTGGAGCGCTTTCCAAAATCCGCGAGGGAGGCGAAATTCCGCTCCGTGGGACCCGCTCCGAATCGACGAGGGGAAGATAAACTTGCATTTTTGGAGCGACCTCCCCCAGACCCCTTCCCACCCCTTCTCCCTCCGCCGTACAAAACGGCCGCTGCTCGAACTTCACCAGTCCCCCCAACGCCTCAGCCGGCTCATCTTTCCGACGACCAGTGACGACTGTCACTGCTTAGCTGCAGAAGTAACACGCGACACAGGCCGGGCGAACTTATACGTACCACGGCGCCCATGTCACAAATAACGAAGACGTCCGCGTTCGGCACCGTCACATACCTTTCGGCCGCCTCGAAGCGGCGGGGCACGGACAGCGATTGCCAGCGGTGGAGTTCAGATTTCTAGTACGACTTTAATAAACACAGAGGTAATAAACCCTCAGTTGCGCAGTCGTAACCTAACCACTTCTTGCTTTATTTCACGGGAAAACGCCGACGGAATGCAGTGCAAAAAGGTAAACAATCACTGGCTGCAGAATGAATAGGCCTAACCTTGCGTCTGCCTCCGGCCTTTCTGTCGTTCCTTTTCTCGTTCTTCCTCTTGCGATCACAGAGTCAGCGCTTACGATTTGCCTCGCTCCACATTCCCTGCTTTTTATCCCTGATCTATGCGAAGTAGAAGCGCTGGAGTCGTCACAATCCAGAGTAAACAACCGACGCACCAGAACAGATCCAACTCCGACCCGACCGGTCCGCCGATCTCTCCAACCTCGCCGCGCATGCGCACCGCCGATTTAGACGGAAATCACGTGGGCCGCTCAGTCAACTTCCGGAGAGATCTGTGAAACCCCGCAGAGCAAGTTCGGCGGAGTTTGGGGCGCTCCGTGGAGTGGGCGCTGCCAGAGATCTACGAGCGGAAGATAACCAACTTGAGCCATGGATCTGCGAGCGGAATATGCGCGCTCCAAATGGAGCGCTTTTGGAGCGCTTGAGATCTGCGAGCGGAATTCACCATAACTCTCTTTTGAAAACACTAATTAAGTCTTCATATGTCCATTCTCTTACCAGTTGCTTGGATACTATGTTCTCGATTTGCTTAGATACCTCCTTTTTGTGCCTTCCTCATCTATTTCCATGCCTCCTATTCTGTTGTATATCTTACGCGACATTAAACAGTAGTCAATAGTCGAGTGAGAGTTCTTTCTTTCCCATGTTATTTTTCCATCACATTTTACCTGAGCATTAACCAATACCAGATCGAGAGCTTCGCAGAACTCCTCTAACATCCTCCCTGTTGTATCTGTATGTCCATCAAAGTCTCCCAAATGTGCATTCATGTCCCCCAAAATAATTATGTCCTTGTTAGTGCCGATTTCCCTAACGTCTCCTGATATACATGTCAAGTGTTCTGCACTTTCCTCGATCCCCTGCATCACTCCCTGTTTTTAGATAAACAAAACCCAAGATTGTGTCCAGACCCCCAATATTGCCTTTGACCCTGCAGTTCCCTGCAGCCCTCTTGTTCTTTTTCCCATTCCTGACCCTTAACTAACACCCCTAATCCCCCTCCTTTGCGTTCCCCATTGGCCCGGTTGCATCCCATCCAATGATATCCCGGTATGTACGGTGGTTCTTCCATATCCCTCAGATGTGTTTCTGCTAATCCATACACTGCAAAGTTTTCGGTCTCTAATTGC